CCGCTCCATGCTATCGTGTCTCTGGACCGGAGCAGAGAGTGTGTGCGGTGCGGTGGTTAGCGTGACACAGCAGCGCCAAACCAGACTTCTTTTTTTCCCTCAATGGAAAGCATATTTACACTGTTTGAATCGTTCCCTGTCCCCTATATAGTGCACTACGTGCCATTCACTGTACAGAAAATACTAATTCTGTGGACAAGTGACCGATTTCAGCCGCGGCTTCAGCATCTATTTTATAGTGTAGGGGGCGGGCGCTTCGGATTCTAGAGAGCATTTGATTGGACAGAAAGTTTGATGAGATGCTGAAGTATGATGTGACGTCAAAAAAATCGTTTTGGCGGAAGTGACCAACTGCAAGCTTTGAATGCTTATATCTTATAAATGTGAATTTTGTCACTGTTTTGGAGCACGCTGCCTTATAGATAACCTTAAGACTAACATATTGATACTAACACCCAAAAAACTTAAATTTTGATTTCATGGGGACTTTAAAGGTAGGGTAGGCGATTTCAGAAAGGCTAGCCATAGCAAGTTAGCTTTGAAAGCAAGATCCACACCCTCCCTGCATGACCACTTTGCAAAGCCACGCCTCCTCCCAAAACACACGAACACGCTCAGTGGCTCAGGCAGACCAGAGACATGATGAGAGACGGCGTTGGTGGAGGATTGAATGCAATGCTATCATAACCAATGTCCATCACATATGCGGAATGATATCTAAAAGTTTTTTATTTTTATTCTTTTCACTAACATTTATATAAAAAATTGAATAAAACGTCAACAATAAAAACAGCAAGCTAGTTTAACTTATTATCTTAAAAGTCCATAGATATCGCTATTATTTATTACGGCTGTTAGCACGTTCTCCGACAAGCGGAAGCGATGAGACCTGTTTTCCGGGTTTGGTCAGGGGACGTTCGACATATACCCTATTAAGCACATTTTCCACCCAATTCTCATTACTTTAATGCAATAATAAAAATAATAATAATAATAATAATCTCATTTTCAAAGAACTTGTGAATTCCTATAGTAAAACATGCATACATTTTAAAAAATATATTTTTATCATTTTTTTATTATTTAATATAAAATTAAAAATAATAACATTTACGTAATATTAATATAAAACTATTATACTTAACAATTCGAGATAAAAATACATTTTTTATTTTGATTTTGGGTTAAAATGTGACCTGGACATGTGAGACCAATAGTTTGACACAAAACAAAGTTGATCCCTGTGTCTTACTGCTTCCATGTCTGTCTGGCCATTCTTGATCCCACCCCTCCGTCTCGAGCAGGTCAGGGGGCTGAGTCGCATTCCTGGGAAAATGAAAACAAGCCTCTCCTCTGACAGGCATCAGGTGGCCGATGGAGAAGTTGATGCCCGCTCAGAAGGGCCCGCGGGGTGTCAGCTCGACTTTACACTATCTGTCTATCCAACAGCTGTCTACAGCCTTCTGCCCAAAACATTTCCAAACATCTGAACATCTCACGAACATCTAAAGGCTGACCCCATAATGCTGGTTAGAAAGTACAGCTGCTCACCAGCGTATGCTGCATTTTGTACATTAGCTTAACTAGCTTAAAGGAATAGTCAACCCAAAAAGAACATTTGCTGAAAATGTCCTCACCCTCAGACCATCCAAGATGTAGATGAGTTTGTATCTTCATGGGAACAGATTTGGAGAAATGTAGCATTACATCACTTGCTCACCAATGGATCCTCTGCAGTGAATGGGTGCTATCATGAGGGTGATTAATTCATAACAGAATTTTCATTTTTGGGTGAACTAGGCCTATCTATCCCTTTAATGATTGTTTTGTTTCTTACAAACACGCAGCTTTTGGCTTCAGAAGATGTTAACTGGTGGACTGGAGTGGTGTGGATTGGCACCCATTCACTGCAGAGGATCCACTGGTGAGCAAGTGATGGAAAGCTACATTTCTCCAAATCTAATGAAGATACAAACTCATCTACATCTTGGATGGCCTGAGGGTGAGTACATTGACAGCAAATTTCTTAATATTCAAATTCTATTGAATATTTCTTAATATTCTTAATTCTCAATATTTTCTTGTTTAACCAACACCAGCCAAACTACCAAACCAGCCTAGAACAGCATTAAACCTCATAATTTGCAAATCTGTTCTGGTAGGACAATAAAGCGAATGCAACTGATAAACTGCATTTAACAATATGCATACTTAAGACAGCAAAATAAAAGCTTTTAAACTTAATGAATCAAAATTTTTAAGTCCAATCAAGCTCTACAGTATTTTGGAACAAAAACACTTGCCATTTTGTACACTGAAAAAAAATTTGGTGTAGAAACCATTTTCACTCAGAAATTGCTAATAAATTTCACAAATAATTGCAAAGAATTGGCAAGTAACACATTGAATTAAACATAAAATTTTGAATTAGAAAGAAGGTGAAAGAAATAATATGATCTTTGTTTTGAAATTAATACATTTCCATGTTTGATTTTAAGGACTTTTTTGTTTATTTTTGCATGATATACAATTTTAATATTGCATTTGGGTTACGTAACATCTACGTTTTGAAGATAAACCAGTTAAAAAACAACTTTGGCTGGATCATAGTTCAGCTAGTTGGTGCATATTCATTGCATGATATTTTTGCAATCAGGATGCATGTGTGCATGTGTGAATGGAATTTTTCTGGAAAAAAGTGATCAAATATGACTGGAGGCATGGGAAAGTTTATCTTTGAGTACTGTTGCTGTTCATGGTTGGTGACTATTGCCAGTAAATATTTAATTCAAGTTGATTTGTTTACTCTGCCAAAAACACCATGCAGGCTACACTGAAGAGTCTGCTGTCCCCTAAACACCCCCTAGACTGATTCAGTTGGAAATTTTCTCCGCATTCTCTCCGTCTGGGTTCAAAGAAAACACAGGTGCACCCATGAACATCTTGTGAGTCTGAAAACACCACAAAACATGTCAAGGTCTGCTGGGAACGACCACGGTGGAGGACGCCTGGACGACAACGTGATGTGAGCTACATCCTACTCCCTCGTGTAAGGTACAGTACACACTGAGTGTCACTGACAACAACTGACTTCCTCCATCTGGATAAAAGAAATAAGAAAACATTTTAAAAAATAAAAATAAAAATTATAAACTAAAAATCAAAATAAAAACTGAAAATATAAAAATAAATGCTAATAAAAATTATAACAGTATATAAATAATACTAAAACAACACTGTCAAGAACATATTTGATTCTTATTTAACACAAAAAAAAATGAGATAAGAATTATATTTTGTTTAAAGAAAATGAAACCTGTTTTCAGCAACATTCATATTTTTGCATTCTGACATTATTTTTCACAAATAAGCAAATTTTAAACCCAAAAATTCTGATTACTGTAATACAAAAATAAAAATCTCAAACTTGTGAGCTATATATATATATTTTTTTTATTTTATTTATTTATTTTTTTTTTAATCAAGGCAACATGATGCATCAAGTTCTCAAGTTTGAATTTGTTTGTCCACTAAATGTCCACTAAATGTTCAAAAAACACATTATTTTCCACATACTGTACATTATTGTTTCTCCTCTATGCCCCGCCTTCTGAAA